CCACAACCTCCGACCCCTCCCCCTCCTTACCTTTTGTCACCGTTTGAGTCATCGGTGGTCAAGATACTTACCCGACTATTCGTGGCGCGAGCGGCGCCTAGGAGACTTGCTCCTCCAATCTACCGATCATTTTCCAGAATGGCTCAAGACTCCGCTTCCATGAATCCAGGTTGGCTTTTACCCAGGTGACCGGGCGTCGTCAGATCCAGGGACTAATTGTTTTTTTTTCTTTTGACAGCTGGTGAGCCGACAGGCCCCAAGGTGGACGCCTCTCCCCAGGCCAATGATCAACAGAACGCAGGCCAGGACGCAGGCGCCCCCAAGGTGAAGAGCGAGAAAGAACGTAGGTCTCCTCCCAAAATAAACGTCATGGGCACCTTTGGCATCATAGTTGTTATGACCACAGTTACTGACCGTGGTTGCGCCTGGAATAGTGGAACGAGAACGCAAGAAGGCCGAGAAGTTGAAGAAGTTCCAAGAGAAACAGGCAAAGGCCGCAGCGAAGCCAGCCGCCCCCAAAGCAGAAAAGAAAGCGAACAAGGTCGAGAAGGACAAGACAACCGATGCTTACGATCCCAAGGTTATTGAGGATGGGCGATACCAATGGTGGGAGGAACGTGACCTCTTCAAACCCGAATTTGGACCCGATGGGAATGTTAGGCCGGAAGGCTACTTCGTTATCCCAATTCCTCCTCCAAATGTTACTGGATCACTGCACATGGGCCACGCTCTCACCAATGCTCTCCAAGATACTATGATCCGTTGGCAGCGCATGAAGGGTAAAACTACCCTGTGGCTTCCTGGGATGGACCATGCCGGTATCTCGACACAAAGCGTGGTTGAGAAGATGCTGTGGAAAAAGGAAAAGAAGACACGCCACGATTTGGGCCGCAAAGAATTCTTAGACAGAGTTTGGGATTGGAAACACGAGTACCATGGCAACATTGGCAATGCTCTGCGCAGAGTAGGAGGCTCATTTGATTGGTCTCGAGAGGCTTTCACCATGGACGACAATTTGTCCGCAGCTGTCACGGAAACTTTCGTCCGTCTCCATGAGGAGGGCATTATCTACCGTGCTAATCGTCTTGTCAACTGGTGTGTGGCTCTCAACACCTCTCTGTCCAACCTCGAGGTCGAAAACAAGGAGGTTGAAGGACGTACGCTCCTTGATGTACCCGGATATGAGAAGAAGGTTGAGTTCGGTGTTTTGACTCACTTCTGTTACGAAATTGATGGTACGAAAGAGAGAATAGAAATTGCTACAACTCGTCCTGAGACCATGATTGGTGATAGCGGTATTGCCGTCCACCCTGATGACAAGCGGTACAAGCATTTGGTTGGCAAATCTGCTCGTCACCCCTTCATTGACCGCTTGCTTCCCGTCGTTGCTGACCCTGATGTGGACCCCGAGTTCGGTACTGGTGCCGTGAAGATTACTCCGGCTCATGACTTTAACGATTTCAACCGTGGAAAGGCCCATAACCTTGATTTCATTTCTGTCCTAAATGACGATGGTACTTTCAACAAGAACGCTGGCCCATTCACTGGCATGAAGCGCTTCGATGCTCGATACAAGGTCGTCGACATGTTGAAAGAGAAGGGGTTGTACGTGAAGTGGGAGAACAACCCCATGAAGATCCCTCGCTGTGCGAAGTCAAACGACGTGATTGAGCCCATCCTTAAGCCTCAATGGTGGATGAAGATGGAGAGCCTCGCTGAACCCGCTATCAAGGCAGTTGAAAATGGAGATATCATCATCAGACCCGAATCAGCCGAAAAGAGCTATTTCCGTTGGTTACGGGGCATCAATGACTGGTGCTTGTCCCGACAGCTTTGGTGGGGCCACCAAGCCCCGGCCTACTTTGTGCAAATTGAGGGCGAGGAAGGCGATGATAGCGATGGCAACCTCTGGATCACCGGCCGCAACGAAGAGGAGGCTCAGAAGAAGGCTGAAGCCAAGTTCCCTGGCATGAAATTCACCCTCAAGAGAGATGAGGATGTGCTAGACACTTGGTTCTCTTCAGGACTGTGGCCATTCTCTACTCTTGGCTGGCCTCGTCAAACCCACGACTTTGAGAAGTTGTATCCTACATCTGTTCTTGAAACTGGCTGGGATATTCTTTTCTTCTGGGTCGCGAGAATGATAATGCTAGGTATCAAGATGACTGGCAATGTTCCATTCAAGGAGGTGTATTGTCATTCCTTGATTCGGGATTCTGAGGGACGTAAGATGTCGAAGTCCCTTGGCAATGTTATTGATCCTTTGGATGTTATGGAGGGCATCAAGCTGGATGATCTTCATGCTAAACTCCTTCTTGGAAACCTTGCTGAAAAGGAGGTTGCTACCGCTACCAAGTATCAAAAGAAGGCATTCCCTAAGGGTATTCCGGAGTGCGGTGCTGATGCTCTTCGTTTCTCGCTTGTGTCTTACACGACTGGTGGTATGTTTACCCGAAGAATATTTTACGCATTGACCATGTTTCTAATCACGTTGTTGTAGGAGGTGATATTGCATTCGACGTCCAGGTCATTCATGGATACCGCCGATTCTGTAATAAGATCTACCAGGCCACCAAATACGTTCTGGGCAAGCTTGGTGATGACTTCAAGCCGCAGGCAACACCGTCAAAGACCGGAAAGGAGTCTCTTTCCGAGCGCTGGATTCTGCACAAGTTTAACACTGCCGCTAAAGAGGTAAACAAGGCACTGGAGGACCGTGAATTCTCCGTTGCTGCTTCCACGATCTACCAATACTGGTACAGCCAGCTCTGCGATGTATTCATTGAGAACTCCAAGTCTCTCCTGGCTCCCGAGCTGCCACAGGAAGTGCAACAATCTGCAAAGGAGACTCTATATACCGCTTTGGAGGGTGCTCTGACCATGATCCACCCCATCATGCCTTTCGTCACTGAGGAATTATGGCAGCGCCTGCCTCGCCGTCCTGGTGACAACACTATTTCAATAATGAAGGCCAGATTTCCTGAGTACAAGGCAGAATTTGATGACTCTACAGCTGAGACTGCTTACGAGCTCATTCTTAATACCTCAAAGGCCGTTCGATCGATTCTTGCCCAATACGATGTCAAGACCAAGGGCGATATCATCGTACAGACATACGACCCGACTAGCTTCAAGACCGTTTCGGATGAACTGCATATCGTCAAGTCCCTCGGTGGTAAAACACTCGGTGAGCTTAGTGTTCTAGGACCGGAAAACACCACCCGTCCATCTGGCTGCGTGGTCGCCGCTGTTGGCTCTCAGGCTGCTGTCTATCTTCGCGTGTCCAAAGAAGTGGCCCTTGAACAAGAAGAAAAGGGGAAAGCCAGCTTAAACAAGGCGCAAGAGGCTGTGCGCCGCCAAACTACTCTGATCAATGGCGCCGGATGGAAGGAGAAGGCGAAGCCTGAGGTGCGTGAGCATGAAGAGAAGAAGCTCCGAGATGCAGAGAGCGAGGTTGCTCGGTTAGAGGAGCAGATTCGTGAATTCGAAAAGCTGCGACTAGAGTAGATATAGGATTAAATTTTATTTTATTTTATTATTTACTGGGACCACGAATCTCAATTCTTATATGGAAACTCCATAGCCATTAATTGTCCTTTCAAAGTTATGCTTCGTGGAGAGATTTAAAGTTTAGATACCCTTTATCGATAAGCGATGCCAAGACCAGTCCGCCAAAACTTTTCCAACGATTTTACAGGAACCAGCATCAGTTTCCGATATCACCAACCTTCACCCCTACAGCATACACTGGGCTCTTTAAAATGCTCCGAGAAGTGTAAGTAATTTGAAACCGCTCTATATGGACCTTTTGCCTTCCCATTATTTCCCCTGCCGTGTGCGATACACTCGAACCAACCATCCACTGACGAAAATCTCTGCCGCAGAAAGCCCAAGAACCCGCGCACAGCGCGCATTCTCAAGGCCAAGGAGCCTCAACTCGTCGAAGGTGCAAAGCGATCTCTAATACTTCATGGGTCAAAATGTCCAGCGCCTCTCCACACCGTCCTCAAGACCTTCCATTCCCTCACCGCACCTCACTCAGTCCTCTTCCACAAGAAAAATGAGAACATCCACCCATTCGAGAACGTCGAGAGTATCGAATTCCTGGCCAACAAGAATGACTGCGGTATGGTTGTTTTCGGTAGTAGCAACAAGAAACGGCCTAATTGCTTGACGCTCGTGCGCATTTTCGACTCCAAGGTTCTCGACATGTGTGAACTGCTACTCCTCCCTAACCCCGGCGGCGAGGAAATTCCCGAGATGAACAGGCTCGCTATGCACATCGGTGTCGGGCTCCGGCCGTTGATGCTATTTTCAGGCAGTGCGTGGGAGGATTCGACATCTACAACACATGCAATGGTGAAGAGCATGCTTGTGGATCTGTTCAAGGGCGAGACCAGCGACAAAATCGACGTCGAGGGACTACAGTATGCGCTGATGGTTGGCGCGGAGGAGCCTACGTCGGGGTTGGCGCCAGTGATTCATCTACGGTGGTACAAGATCGTGACCAAGCGGAGTGGACATAAGCTGCCCCGCGTGGAGTTGGAAGAGATTGGACCCAAGTTTGACTTCAAGATCGGACGTATTCAAGAGGCTCCTCGCGACGTTGTGAAGGAGGCTATGAAGCAGGGCAAGAGACCGAACGAGGAGATCAAGAACAAGAAGAATATCGGCATGGACTTGATCGGTGATAAGGTCGGTCGGGTGCATCTGGCTAAGCAGGATCTGGGTGGGTTGCAGACGAGGAAGATGAAGGGATTGAAGCGGAGAGCTGGCGTTGAGTCCGACGAGGAGGCCGGAGATGCGGAGATGATGGATGTGGACGAGGTATCGGACGACGAGGGGCCCAAACGGGCCCGACACGAATGAAGGACAGGGCACGGGTGATGGAGATAGTCTACTGAAGTATTGTCTATTCTGGCTTGATTCTAGGCGTTATTGGTGTCAGTGCATTCTCCATAGTATAGAGTACCGCAGTATCTCAATGAAACACGTGACATGACGTTTAGTGGTCGACTCGGCTGCAGCTCACATGCCGAGGATCTTTTCGCTCCCAGCGCGGATACAAAGCTGCTGCAAAATGCCGCCCGCAACGCCGAGTCCTATCTTCGTCCCTCTCCCTTAAAAAGAGCTCTTCCGTCTTCCCGGTCGCTACTCCGACCTTCTGTAACCCCCGATGATCCCTGTTGTCCCAGGCTCCATCCGCTGGTCCAACTGAACTCGAACCTGCCGCAGCTCCGACTCAGTCTGCCGAGGTTATCCGCGAACAGCTATACACGGCTATGGATGCTCTCGTGGTAGGGTATTCAAGCAATCTGTTTTTTATTGCCGGGCTACAATAATGCTAATTGCCCTACAAGTCGCGGCTGGACGCCCTCGTTACAAACCCGGATCTCGCCCCGGTCCTGTCGTTGTTAAAGGGTATTCGCAATGGCGCGGTCTACGGTGCTAAAGTGCGGTTTCCGCATGCTCTGGTGTATGTACTACGTGATGATGGTCCCGATGCCACTGGAATTGAGTTGCGCTAACACAAATGACTTTTAATATAGTATGATATTCCTATTCCGCTCTGGAACGTGAGGCTTCCTGCATGAAATATAACCCAGATTACGGGGTCTCGGCAATATACACTAACATACGTCATCTAGCATACGGGAAAAGGTCAAGCTAGTGCTCAATGCTACACGACAGCATGCTCGAAATCTCGCCGTGTTCTGCCTCATATACAAGAGCTCCATGATCGTCTTGCGCAATATCAATCCTGCTGGTGTCGGGAAGGAGGGGCAATACGATAGCTTCTTTGCGGGGTTGATGGGAGGCTATGCGGTCTTTGGCCGACATAAATCAAGTGTCACGCAACAGGTACATTGCATTGCACACCGGCTGGTTTGAGATTGATGAGAATAATGTGTTAATGCTTGATAGATTGTGATCTATATCTTCGCGCGTGTCGTCCTCGGCTTCGCCAAGCTCTCCGTCCAACCCGGAGCGCACCCTCTCTCAGACCTCATCGGCCCTGAAGGGCGGAAACGTATCGAAAACAATGCCTGGGCTGTTTTCGCATCCGTCAGCTGGGCGCTTGTCATGTACCTCTTCCGCTGGCATCCGGAGACATTGATGTCGAGTCTACGAAGCAGCATGGTTTACATGTATGTCACACTACTCATTTCGCTTCTCTCGAATGCAATGGTCTCGTCGTTTCTTACTAACTCCGCTCTCAGATATGCCGACTCAGACCACTGGGACTCATTCCGTAACCTCCTAGTCTACAACAAATAGACGATTTTTTCAACTTGTCACGCTGGCGCTTGATGCTATATCTCTTTAGTCTTAGGGCTATTCTTTTTTCCTCTACTACTATGGGCCAGGCGTATAGAATCGGCGCATGTTTTTCTATGGCTTTGATCTGTGCTACTCGTTCTCAGTTTCAAGTTACCCTGTATTATTGTTACTTCGTTCCATATTTTAAACCGGGAACGGCCAATGTGGCAGCGTGTTGAAACGCCCATGGATATTATTATCAGAGGCCCGGCACCCACCCTCTGGCAGGCTGACGGATAGAATGGCAATACAATCAATCTATTCCAATGAATATGAGGCGTATACTCTAGATATATACAGGCGCCACGGGGGCCCCTCTAATATATCCTCCCGTGCCCAGCTCTTGCAAGTCTATAATGTTACTCATAACTTACTCTTTGGCTCAACTAGTCTCTCCACATCAACAAACTGGTAGTAGTACTCCAGACTATCCGGGTTCAGCAGCGTTCCCGACGCTTTGATCTTCTTCCCAGAGACAATCTGCTTCACAGGTAATTCAACCTTTTTGAGGTTCACCGTCGTCTGTAGACTCATTAGTATGTTCCCCGTCACGACCCAAAGTGGAAGTCAAAAAAAAAAAAAATAAAATAAAATAAAATAAAATAAAATAAAATAAAATAAAATAAAATAAAATAAAATAAAATAAAATAAAATAAAATAAAATAAAATAAAATAAAANTAAAATAAAATAAAATAAAATAAAATAAAATAAAATAAAATAAAATAAAATAAAATAAAATAAAATAAAATAAAATAAAATAAAATAAAATAAAAAAATAAAAATAAAGGTACATACCGGAATCTCAGGCGTCATAAAAATATACTTCGGCACATGTCTCGCGCTCAGCGCCTTCTTAATGGCCTCCTTAACACGACCTATAAGTTCAGCCGTAAGACTATGCCCGGGCCGCATAAGCAAAAACAGGACGACCGATTCGTCAGTGTCCTGAGGCCTTCGCTGCCCGACACATAGCGAGTCGGTAATTTCATCTGTGAATTGAGTCTCAATCACATTGTAGATTTCGGCAGAGCCGAAGCGGATTCCTGAGGGGTTGAGGACCCCGTCAGAGCGGCCGAGGAAGAAGACTTGCTTCGTTATTGGGTGGATGGAGATGAAGTCACCATGGGTCCAGACGTCTTGTGTGGACTTGTCAGTTCAAATTCTTTCAAGAATGTAGAGGGGATGACATAGTAGGGGAGGGCTATTAGGGTTAGAGTGGGTAAGTAGACTTACTGTCAAACCGGGCAAAGTAGGAGTCAAAGTATTTCTTTGGGCCATCATCGCCGAGGAATTTAACCGGCATTGTTGGAAATGCTGTTGTTGCGACGAGCTCGCCTGGGACGCCATCGGGGGTAGCGGTTCCCTTTACACCAGTGGCACCTTCGTCGGCTTGGTCGTAAACTTCCACTGCGATTCCAAGTGGGAGACCCTGGCAGCCGCCTAGATAGAGCGGGGTGAGGGGGTTCTCGAGTCCAAAGCAAGCCGCCAGGTCTGTTCCACCTGAAATATTTGCTAGTTGCGCGCGAGCTGGGAATCCCTTGTCGTAAAACCACTCAGCAATGGATTCGGGGAGAACCATTCCTGTGCTTGTAACACCGACAAGACTACTGAGGTCCTCTTCGTTGTGCGGAGATATGCCGTTCTTGCGCAGCTCGTGAAGGTAACGCGGGGATGTACCAAAGTGTGTTACTTTGTATTTGCCTAGGAGTTGGATAAGGACCTTTGGACCAGGTATAAAGGGGCTTCCATCATAGAGTATTGTTCTTCCGCCAAATAGTAAACCTGATATGGCGGACATGTACATGATCCAGCCAGTAGTGGTGTATTGGAGAGTGACCGACTCTGAATTGTGGCAACGATGTAGTCGAGCTTCCTTATTCGAGTTGAGGATGTAGCCACCGACACCGTGTACTATCGGCTTTGGCTTCCCTGTTGTCCCTGAGGAGAAAGCTACCAGGAAGGGATCGCGGAACCCAACACGGACAAACTCTAGCTTGTCGGATGGCGCAGTTGCAAGTAGTTGCGCCAGAGGCCGGGCTTTGAGCACACCAGACACATCAACTGGACGGCCAGGGAACCGAGGAAGAGTAATTAAGCTTTCAAACTCGGAAACTTCCTTGAGGCCGTTAACAACATCAATGATTTTTGGCCGCAGATCAATTTGCTTCCCGTTGTATACGGCGGCGTCATCGAAAAACACGTATTTTGGTTTGATCTGGAGAAGACGATCAAGGATGCCTTTGACACCAGTATCAGTAGAGGCGGATGAGAACAGTGCCCCGAGAGCGGTAGTGGCCAGGAAGACCACCAGTGTGTCGATGCTGTTGCTAGCGACAATGGCAACACGATCTCCTTTTGTCACGCCAGCGGCCTTGAGGGCTTGGAGCATTTTCCCTGTCCGTTGTCTCAACTGGGACCAGGTAATGGAGATAGCAGGCTCCAGGGCACCTTCACGGACTTGGGTCGCCACGATTTTGCTGTCCTCCTTTCCAGTTGTAGTAATGAAATGAGACCCGTTTGGTGTCTTTTCGGCAGTGAAAAGCATGTTCTCAGCAAAATTCAGCCGAACCCCTTCAAACCAGCTTGGAACACTGTCGATGCGAGCGGATTCATCAACGACAGTAGTGTAAGAGCCTTCGTAGATGATAGGGAAGAATTTCCAGCTAAAGTCCCAGAAGGCAGCGCGATTCTTCACCGACCAGGTTTGCAGGTCATGGTAGGTCTTAATATTGGTCAGATAATGCTCATGCTCATGGAAGCCAACGGACTCACCGGCAAGCTGATACCCTTCTCTTTCTCCAGGCTTTGCTTGAACGCCCACATCTGGGTAGCCCTAGGGTTGGGGTGCTCCCAGAGCTTGCGGGGGATGTCTTCTGCGGAGGCCATATCGTTATGTCGGGGGCACTTGGTCGTAGAACAGGAAAAGCAGAAAAGCAATTCATGTAATATAAGTCTCGCGAGATGTGTATTCCGAGGATAATCTTCCTCCAACAGGTAGTGGGGGCCTCGGCATATAGAAATGCGGGGAAGACAGTTCGTCCACCTCAGCTCGTTATCGGAGACCGGTCTGTCAGCATCTCGGCTTCCAGTGGAGCGTCTTCCCCGTCATATCCGCCCATCGTGTAGCCTTGCCGAATGCCGAGTTACACTGTCACCGCGGCTTGTTCCCTCATTGTGCACTGAATGGCAGTTCTGCAGGTCTGGCCCAGGGCCCTCGGCAAGGGTATTTCCAAAGCCTTGGCCGTGGACATGGATTCGTATCCATTGCCCCAAATGTAATCTTTATGATGATGAGAATGAGAACTGGACTGAAGTATTTGATTGGCAGCTGGTCGTGCTCGTCTGCGCGGAGACGGCAAGTTGATGCCTTAGACCTGAGGCCCCAAAACAGACCAAAGCGAACAAACAGCGGGGGTGTCAAAGAAATGCCTGCAACTTCTGCAAAGATTATACTCACTCATTGCCTTGCATTTGACGGTACATTCTGAAACTTGTGGGCCTAGGAAATGCTATTCATTGTGCGGCGTGTCTAGGAACCCATGGCCTCGTCCACAACTTCCGAGATCCAGATGAGTGTCTGCCCAAATCGAAATTCTCCGGAGATCAAGCCCGAAGAATGCGATCCACAGACTGCGCAGCCTACTGAGCCTTCAAATGCTCGCGGCAAATGGAGGATCGGTGCGATATTGATTGCATTGGCGGTAAGTTCTAGCGTACATAGGGAAGAGTGCGCATTATTAGGGCATGATACTGACGCAAGGGGGTATAGTTAAGCTTATTTATTTCTGCTCTGGATCAAACAATTGTAGCTACAGCTGCTCCCACAATATCAGCAGACTTACATTCTGGCGGTGGATATGTCTGGATCGGTGGCGCCTATCTCCTCGGAAATGCCGCCAGCGGCAACATTTGGGCCAATCTCTCTGATATCTGGGGGAGGAGACCAATTCTCCTGTCAGCAGTTGCACTCTTCTTTGTGTCGTCGATCATATGTGCCACGGCAGTGGACATGCCCATGTTGATTGTAGGTCGCAGTATCCAAGGTGTCGCCGGCAGTGGGCTCATCCAGCTCATCCTCATTACTATATCTGATCTGTTCAGTGTCAGGTAAGGATATACACTTGTCATCTGACCTGCTACTTGGCTTATGCAAAACAGAGTACGTAGCCTGTTTATGGGGCTCATGGAATGCATTTGGACTGTTGCGGGAGCGCTTGGCCCCGTGCTCGGAGGCTCTTTTACTGAATCTGTTTCGTGGCGCTGGATCTTCTGGATCAACCTTCCAGTATGTGGAGCCGCTTTCGTGCTTCTTATCCTATTCCTTGATGTCCATAACCCGAAGACACCTTTCATCGATGGCATCAAAGCAGTGGACTGGTTCGGTAGCTTCTCCATTCTAGCTATCTCCATCATGGTCCTCCTAGGACTCGACTTCGGCGGTGCTACGTTCCCTTGGGATAGCCCCAAGGTTATCTGTTTGATTGTATTCGGTGCTTTGATGTCGATTGCGTTCATTTACAGCGAAAAGAGGCTGGCAAAGTACCCTCTTATGCCGCTTCATGTGTTCAAAAGTCGCTCGAACATTGCATGCTTCTTAGTAGACTTTACACACGGTTTTGTGAGTTCTCTAATATACCAAGGCATCCGAGTGAAAAGAAGTACTCACTTATGGATGCAGGCCTTCCTCGGTTCAGAGTACTTCCTCCCCCTCTACTTTCAATCCACCAAAGAAGCATCCCCATTTCACTCGGGTATTCTAATTCTCCCTTTCATCTTGAGCGAATGTCTCGCTAGTCTCTCAGTGGGGATTTTCATTCACCGTACCGGCCACTACCGAGGGGTGATATGGCTTGGAATGACGGCTGTGGTTCTTGGAATGGGTCTATTCATCGATTACAACACCACCACCGTTCTAGGAAAAATCATCAGCTACCAAATAATAGCAGGATTCGGCTGTGGCCTTCTCTTCTTCCCTCCACTGCTCGCACTTCAAAACAACATCCCAACTAAAGATACGGCAACCGCAACTGCAACATTCGGCTTCGTTCGCAATCTCGCCATGGCCCTTTCCGTTGTCCTAGGCGGTGTTGTCTTCCAGAACAGCATGCTCATGAAACAGCCTCTCCTCGGTGATGCAGGTCTTTCATCAACCCTACAGGAGGAATTTACCGGCGCGGAAGCCGCGGCGAATGCCCTTTCTGTCAAGGATGTGGTGGATCCGCTTCAGCGCCAAGCTGTGAAGCAGGCATTTGCTTGGAGCATTCGCAATATATGGATTTTGTATACAGCGCTTGCGGCTGTGGGACTTGTTGCAAGTGCGTTCATCAGAAAACAGGAGCTTAGCAAGGAACATGTAGAGACCAAAACCGGGTTGAAAGAGAAGGATCCCTCTGTATCCGTGGCTTTACAGGAGAGACCAGTTTCGAGCGTTTAAAGGCTAGAACTGCTTCATTTTCTAGTTTGTATATATGGCTTAGAAAATACGTAGTCCAATATATAGAGGGAAATCGTATGTATTTTCCCAGCAGCCGAGAACCCTTCGGGAAATATTACTCAATAGTAATGCTCAGCAGAAACATAAACATGATAACCTATAATTACTCTGCCAGTGTCAAGTTTGTTTATTCCCGAGTTATGGCCTGGAGAAGAGACGGCAATCAGCGATCTCCGAATCGGCGACTCCCGAACTCCTTTGCTCCACTCCATATAAACCTCCCATCATCCATCCCCTCACGCTACGTTTAACCATTCCTTCTGTCTTCAGCTCAATCGAACCAAAAATGTCTCCTCCGACTCTTCTTACATCGCCCTCTTTGAATCTAATACCCGAACCACTCACTCGCGACGGGTTTGCCCCCTTTGGCACCACAATTATTCCCCCTCTTCCCCGCACCACCACCAGGCCTCCAAACCCTCTATCCTCACACCCAACACATCCACTCGTCCCGGCTCCGGTTGCAGCAAACCAACTATCGGCACTGAAATACAGTCCAATTTCGCCACTAACCAACAACTATCCCTCACAATGCCCAAGCAAGCAACCCTCCGAAGCCCGAATGACCATGTTCAGTTGCTTCCCGCGAACCCTCCGCACGGCTACTACCGCAAGCGCCAAAACCGGAGCTGAAAAGAAGAAGGTTTTTGACGTTGGAATCCTAGAGCGACACCCGTATACAACGCAGACATTCTCCCCGCTTGGTCTCTCCTACGATCACAAGGATGAGACGTGTTATCTGGTCATCGTGGCTCCAACGCTGAAGGGCGAAGTCGCTACAGCAACTACGGAAGCTGGGGAGAAAGTGTCTATCCGCGATCCGCCGGACTTGAGCCGATTAAGGGCCTTTGTGGCTAGTGGGGGAGAGGCTGTGACGTATGGAGCTGGGACGTGGCATGCGCCGATGGTGGTTGTTGGAAAGCGGAGGGTGGATTTTGTGGTTGTGCAGTTTGTGAATGGGGTTGCGGATGAGGATTGTCAGGAGGTTTGTTTTAAGGAAGGTGTTGTGGTGGATTTGAGTGGGGCTCGTGCTGGTTCTGAGGAAGTGAAGTCGAAGCTTTAGAGCTGGTGTTTGATACTAAACTAAACCTGTGGCGAGGGTTATGCATGGGAAGCTGGTGGTATGATTAAAATTGCATTTGTACGTTTGTGTGTATAACTATACATTGATAGAAGTGGAGATATCTGATCATGAAGCGGAGGCACTGAGCGGGGGGTCTACATCCTTGTGAACATTGTTACGCACACTGCGCGCCAGTTCGAGGGTCTCCTTGGGCAGTCCGGCCAGTTGAGCAACCTTCAAAGCATGCGACTCGCGGTTCACACCCTTTCGCAGCCGATGGACAAACGAAAATGAACCCGAAGAAGCCTCTTTCACATCGGTGCAATATCTCCCAAGCGCCGGAAATTCATGCGTCATGTCAGCAAGAGTATGGAAATGTGTGGCAAACAGCGTCCGGCACTGGTTGCGGTAGTGCAGGTGGTGCAGGCAGGCAAAACTGACTGCTGCTCCATCCTCTGGTGTGGTACCACGACCGACCTCGTCCATGATCACAAACGACCGTGCTGTCGCCTGCTTGAGGATCGCAGCTGTTTCTAGCATCTCTACCATGAACGTCGACTGATCGCGGAAGAGGTCGTCTGCCGCGCCGATGCGACTAAAGATCTGGTCGACGACACCAATCTCTGCGTAGTCGGCAGGTACGAAAGACCCAACCTGCGCAAGGATGGTGATTAAGGCATTTTGTCGCAGGAATGTGCTTTTACCTGCCATGTTGGGCCCGGTGATAAGCCAGATGCGCTCGGATTCACCCAGGAAACAGTCGTTGCTTACGAAATGTCGCCCCTGCTCCTCAAGGCCGAGCTTGACAGTTGGATGTCTCCCTCCCACGATCTTGTGGCTAGTGCCTTGAGTAAGGACTGGGCGAACCAGCCGTTGCTCGTCAGCGAGCGTGGCAAATGAACACGCGACGTCAAGTTCATCCATAGCCAATGCATTGCGTCGAATTTTCACCAGGTTAAGAATGGCCTCGCGACGAAGTCCCTCAAAGATCGCCTGCTCCTCCTGGCGGATCTGGAGTTTTATTTGGTCCATTCGGCCGCCAAGTTCAGTCCACGCGGGCAAATAGAATGACCTGGTCGACTTTGTTGAGGAGACATTTCGCGTGACACCCAAATCTTCTAGTTGTTTTTGCGAGATTTTGGCACCCTTGACATGGCATATGTGCCCTAAACCAGGGGTCCATTTGAGGGTAAGGGCGGACGACCCGACGGAGTCACGGAGATGCTGACCTAGGCTCAGCTTCTCAGCCTGTAGCTGGTCCAATGTCCGGTGAAGCTCTTCAAGTGCATGGCTTGCATCTCTCCGCATAATCCAAGCGTCAGCAGTGGAGGAGTCATCTACTGCTGGGCGATAGTTGCCCTTAGTCCTGACCTTTTTCGGTAAACTCTCCAGATCACCAGGCACACCCTCATTGAGGGTGACTTCCTGGGCTAGGCTGGCGGCTTCCGCTGCCGTATCGTCTTCTATGCGTTGCTGCTGAAGCAAACCTTCCTCATCAATTGCGGACAGAATTTTATCAGCCAAAACAGTTGGCCCATCCAGATAGAGTCGACTAATCATTGTCCGAAGAGATTGCCGAGAAGCGTCCGTGACCTGCGCATTACTGCTTTCATCGCGTTCTTTGGACAATAGCAGGCGCTTTACTTCTTTCGAAGCTTCTATAGCTCGAGATAAACAGATCAAATCATCTGGGTCCCCTCGGCCCAGTGTGAATTTTTGGACCAAACGCTGAGCATCGTAACTGCGTTTCAGCAGCTGTACTAGATCCTCTTTTAGCGTCTTATCCTCAATGAAAACTGAAACTAGATCGAGACGTTCATTAATCACCGCTAATGAAGTCGAGGGAGATGTTAGGCGATCCCGTAATAGGCGCGCTCCACTTTTGGTTGAGGTCCGGCGTACTGCATGGAGCAGGCTGCCTTTCCCAAAACCATCTCGTGCTGATTCGAGAATCTCGAGTCCTCTGAGGCTATTACGATCAATATTCATGGATTCGTCAAGATGTCGGCGTCGCGGCGGCTGTAACTTCAGATTTAAGCCTTGCAGTTGAGCCTGTATGTACTGTAACAAACTATACCCCGCAGCAACCTCTTCTTCGGTGAAAGTGTCGATTGACTGGGATGGAAGAGGCGCTTCCAACATGGGTGTCCAGTCTGATACCGGTAGAATCTCCTCAGGAAAGTGGAAAAAGGACATCAGCCGCTGTTCATGGCCAATAAGCAGTTGCAGCTCTTGTCCAACTAGATTTTGGATGTGTTGATCTACGAGAATTTCGCGAGCACCTATCCTTGCGATCGCTGATGGAAGCATTTGGGCGGTGGTAAACTGGGTAAAGAAGTCGCCAGTAGAAAGATCTAACCAGGCCAGGCCAACGTTTTGCGAAGCCGACGTTAGAACATGTTGATGAGCAGACTCATCAGTACCGTCAGTAGGGCTTGGAACACTTCCTAGCGAAGACGGATCAAGATAAATCGACATCAAGAAGTTATTTTCGGACGGATCCATGAATTTTTCGTCAATCAGGGTGCCTGGCGTAATAACCCGTGCCACCTTTCGGTCGAACAGCAGGCTACCAGAGCGGCCTCGCTCCTCCGCACTGTTAGCAAATTCTTCGCTAATCGCAACGTATTTATTCAGATCTTGAACAAGTATCTTCAGAAAGCGATCTAGCTGAAAGAAAGGGAATCCTGCCATGGGAACTGGACCAGCGCTGGTCTTTTTCGAAGCAAGCTTTAAATTAAGGAACGGGGCAAGCTCTTCAGCTTGCTCAAAATAGAGCTATTATTCGGTCAGAACCTGCGCATTACAAGGGAGCAATTGTAAAAAATACCTCGTAGAAGCCCCCAACTCTAGTCAGAACAACGCAGTTCTTAAACTTCTGCATGTTGTTGCGATGCCCCTGAACAACCGTTGGGTATCGGGGAGTATCATCAACCACCTCGTCATATGGTTCCAATTTCAGCGCACCCTGAGGGAGGTCCTTGAGCTTGACAGTGGATTTCGTTTTAGCAGACCGTCGCTGCGTACAGTGGAAGGCCGGTGCTGCTGGCCCGGAGGCAGCGGCGCGTCGCGGTCGTTGAGCATGGTGGCAGATAGTTCGATGTATATGACAGCGATGGGGGAGGGTGGTTTCAAGGCGAGCCAGAGACCGAGCCTGCGACTGGATCAAGTAAGGTATACGACATCCATTGATTGGCATGATCTTGGAATTGTTCTGGCGTGTTGGTCGCGTGGAGAGCTTCTCGTTTCCAGGCTTTCTATTCTGTCGGCAGAAAACGTTGCTGCCTCAGGCAGTAACCGTCAAACCTTCCGTGTCCGGGCCACCGAATTCTGCGACTCAACTTGATTCTTCCCGACAGCTTCAACACAACCATTTTTTTCCCCAACACCCACGAGAGCGCGCAGCTTGACAACTGAAGTTAGGTTGCTTGCTGCAGGAGGATGGTCCAGGTTTGTGAAACCTCACGGATCTCACTTTGCCACAGAATTCATCTCTAGTCGCAGGTGTCTCGACGCGCCGCCGAAACTTGAGCCTGAGCTCCGTCGAGCCAGTAACACCTTATTCTGGTCACTTCCCTACCGGTGACCTTCCCTTTCGCTTTATTAATTTTACCTCGCCAAATCGTCAAAATGGCGGACCAAAATATTTCACAGTACAAGTACTCGGCGATGTCCAACCTGGTTCTCCAGGCGGACCGTCGTTTTATCTCTCGCGTCAATGATGAGGCCACCGGGGACCCAGAATCCCTTGCCGGCCGCATTGGCATCCGGGAAATGGGATCCAGAATCGCACGCGATGACGCACCGAAATCCAAGAAGAAGGCCGTCGGACCGATCGATATCGAGCGAGGTTCTATTCGAGAAGGCGAAGACGTCCTTGCGCGCGAGCAGAAGAAGCGACAAAAAGGTCAAACAACCCAACTCCGTGGCCAAGGAATTCTTACTGCCGCCGACGCCCTCGTCGAAGGCCTCAAATATCGCCCTCGCACGCCAGCCACCCGGGCTACGTACGATTTAATCCTCACATTAACTGCAGGCCGTCTCGGCGACGTCTCACACGAAGTTGTCAGGAGTGCCGCCGATGCGGTATTAGAGATCTTGAAAGACGAGGAAATGAGAGACTTCGATAAAAAGAAAGAAGTTGATGATTTACTTGGCACTTCACTGGATCCAAAAGAGTTTAATGAGCTGGTTAATCTGGGTAAGAAGATTACAGATTACGATGCCCAAGATGAAGACGAAGAAATGGGAGACGGAGCTGCGGGAGAAGATGAGGCAGAGCTCGATGAACGACAGGGTGTTGCTGTGGTCTTTGATGAGGACGAGGATGAAGACCGCATGGGCACCATGGATGAAGTACACGACGAAGATGAGTCAGAGGATGAAGAAGAACAAGGGGAATCAGGTGATCAGGAGGCTGCCGTAAAGGAAGCTCCGGAGGATTTGTCTACGGAAGAGATGGTTATTGATGGCGGAATAGACCAAGATGGTGACCGACAAAAGATAGGACTGAGAGTTCACGCTCGCGATATCGATGCTTACTGGCTACAGCGCCAAATTGGATCTGCGTACTCTGACGCCCATATTCAGCAGGAGAAGGCCACTCAAGCACTCGAAATCATGGGCGGTAAAACGGAGGATGGTTCAGAGAGGTCGTTGCGTGATGTGGAAAATGACCTCATGGAACTTTTCGATTACGACTACCCAGAACTTGTCGCCAAGCTCGTCACCAACCGAGATAAGGTTGTTTGGACTACTCGCTGGCGACGAGTGGCTGAAGATGCCGACGCACGTCACCTAGTGGAGAGCGAAATGGTCGAGGCCGGACATCGTGCTATCCTGGATGAGATCCGTGGCAAGACGGCTCGTGATGATGATTCAGGTCGCCCCGAAAAGAGAATCAAAATGGATCTTGCGGATGTTGATATGCCCAATGCCCCTGTTGCCGCCGAGGAGAAGCCCGCGGAAGGTGGATTGGTTAGAGGACTGCAACCCAAACGCTTGATCAACTTGGAAAACCTCGCATTCCATCAAGGTAACCATTTGATGACCAACCCCAACGTAAAACTGCCTCAGGGCTCTACGAAACGGACGTTCAAGGGATACGAAGAAATCCATGTGCCGCAACCAAAGCCCAAGCAGGAACCAGGAGAAAGGAAAGTCGCAGTTTCAGAGCTTCCTGAATGGGCTCGTCTTGGTTTTGGAGATGCCAAGGAGCTCAATCGAATCCAAACCAAATGCTACCCTTCTGCCTTCCAGGATGATGGAAATATGCTTGTCTGTGCGCCCACAGGATCCGGAAAGACCAACGTGGCCATGCTTAGCATCCTTCGTGAAGTTGGGAAAAACCGTAACCCAGAGACAGGGGAGATTATGCTCGACGATTTCAAGATTATCTACATCTCCCCTTTGAAGGCTCTTGTGCAAGAACAGGTTGAAAACTTTGGCAAGCGTCTTGCCCCTTACGGTATCAGGGTATCGGAGTTGACTGGTGATCGTCAACTTACGAAGCAGCAAATTGCCGAGACTCAGGTTATTGTCACGACCCCGGAAAAGTTTGATGTTATTACGCGAAAGGCGTCAGAGACCAGCTACACCAAGCTTGTTCGCCTGGTCATCATTGACGAAATTCATCTTCTTCACGATGAGCGTGGTCCTGTCCTTGAGAGCATCGTCAGCAGAACTATTCGTCAGGTTGAGCAAACCGGCGACCCAGTCAGAATTGTCGGTCTCAGTGCCACCCTTCCAAACTACCGCGATGTCGGAAGCTTCCTTCGCGTTGATCCCCAGAAAGGGATGTTCCACTTTGATGGCTCTTACCGACCTTGTCCCTTGAAACAAGAATTCATTGGTGTTACGGATAAGAAACCTATTAAGCAATTGAAAATCATGAACGACATTTGCTACAACAAAGTTATTGAACACGTTGGGCAAAACAGAAACCAAATGCTTATTTTTGTCCACTCTCGGAAAGAAACGGCCAAAACTGCGAAATACCTCAGAGACAAGGCTTTGGAAATGGAAACTATCGGCCAGATTCTGAAAAGTGACTCGGCAAGCAGGGCTATTCTCTCCGAGGAGGCCGAGTCGGTCAATGACGCTTCACTCAAAGATATTCTTCCTTATGGCTTCGGTATCCACCATGCTGGCTTGAGTCTTGCGGACCGTGATTCGGTCCAGGCGCTTTTCAAAGATGGTAGCATTCAGGTACTCGTGTGTACAGCAACCCTTGCCTGGGGTGTTAACTTACCCGCGCACACTGTCATCATCAAGGGGACCCAGGTTTATTCTCCGGAGAAGGGTAGCTGGGTCGAATTGAGTCCTCAGGATGTCCTCCAAATGCTAGGACGAGCCGGACGACCGCAATATGATACCTATGGTGAGGGTATTATCATCACCACGCAGGCTGAAATTCAGTATTATCTCTCGTTGATGAACCAGCAATTGCCTATTGAAAGTCAGCTTATGGGCAAGCTAGCGGACAACATGAACGCGGAGATTGTGCTTGGCAGCATTCGCACACGAGACGAGGGTGTTGACTGGCTCGGGTACACCTATCTATTCGTCCGCATGCTACGCTCCCCAGGTCTGTACAGTGTCGGTGCGGATTATGAGAATGACGATGCACTAGAGCAGAAAAGAGTTGATCTTGTTCATTCAGCAGCCGTACTCTTGGAGAAGGCTGGACTAGTCAAATATGACAAGAAGACTGGACGGCTACAGTCCACGGAACTTGGGCGGATTGCTTCGCACTATTACATTGGCCACAACTCCATGCTAACATACAACCAACACCTCCAGCCGTCCATAACCGGCATCGAGCTTTTCCGAATCTTCGCGCTCAGCGATGAGTTTAAGTACATTCCTGTCCGCCAGGATGAGAAGCTTGAACTGGCCAAGATGCTGGGTCGTGTGCCTGTTCCAGTTAAGGAGGGTATAGATGAGCCTCACTCAAAGATCAACGTTCTGCTACAGGCCTACATCTCCAGATTGAAACTAGAGGGACTTGCCTTGATGGCAGACTTGGTCTATGTGACCCAATCGGCTGGACGTATTATCCGCGCTCTGTTTGAAATTTGCTTGAGGAGGGGCTGGGCTTCTGTGGCTAAGAATGCCCTTGACCTTTGCAAGATGGCTGAGCGAAGAATGTGGCCGACCATGAGCCCGTTACGCCAGTTCCCACGATGCCCTAGGGATGTCCTTCAGAAATCCGAGCGAATCGACGTGCCCTGGGGTAGCTACTTCGATCTAGACCCCCCTCGCATGGGCGAACTTCTCGGCATGCCCAGAGCTGGCCAGACCGTTTGTGACTTGGTTTCGAAATTCCCTCGTCTGGAAGTTCAGGCTCAGGTTCAACCCATCACGCGCTCTATGCTGAGGGTTGAGTTGACAATTACCCCCAACTTTGTGTGGGATGAGGAGTTGCATGGAACTGCGCAGGACTTTTGGATCATGGTCGAGGACTGTGACGGCGAGGATATTCTATTCCACGACCAGTTCGTTCTGCGCAAGGACTATGCTGAGTCGGAGATGAATGAGCATCTTGTCGAATTCACTGTCCCTATCACCGAGCCTATGCCCCCGAACTACTTTATTTCTCTTGTCTCTGACCGCTGGATGCACTCAGAAACTCGCATTGCCGTGTCCTTCCAGAAATTGACCCTTCCTGAGCGGTTCCCACCTCATACTCCATTGCTTGACATGCAACGAGCTCCGATCAAGGCTCTTAAGCGCGACGAGTATCAGCGACTGTACCCTGATTGGGAGTACTTCAGCAAGATTCAAACGCAGACTTTCAAGTCCCTGTTCGACAGCGATGACAACGTCTTTATTGGTGCCCCCACGGGCAGCGGCAAGACTGTTTGCGCGGAGCTGGCGATACTGCGTCATTGGGCGCAAGAAGACAGCGGCAGGGCAGTCTACATTGCTCCATTCCAGGAGCTCATTGATCTCCGCCTGGAGGACTGGAAGAAGAGGCTGGGCAACCTGGCTGGTGGAAAGACCATCGCGAAGCTTACGGGAGAAATGACTGCCGATCTGAAGGTTCTTGCCGGCGCAGACCTTATCCTGGCCACTCCCACACA